CACCCCAAGGGATGACAAGGTCCAGTGGTCACAAACTCCTGCAGGACTGTTTTAGGCTGGACATAAAGAAAAACTTCTTTATTGTCCAAGCCCCAAGGCCTGGAACAGACTCCTCTCAGAGGTGGTGCAAGCACCTATTCTGGACACCTTCAAGAAACACTTGTTGGGATCCTTTGTTGGGATCCTTTGACCCTAGATGACTTCTTGCCCCTTGGGCAGGGGGCTGGACCCGATGATCTTATGAGGTTCCTTCCACCCCTAATGTCTATGAAACAGGGGCATGACCTAGTTTGTATGTTCCCAGTGCCCCAACACTCATGCTTCAAATCCAGCAATACACTGGAGAGGCTGCCCTGAGGCCTCCCTCTGTGGCTTCTCAGGCATGCCAGAGCCCAGTCCCAAGCACCCACAGAGGAATTCCCTGGAGCAGCTTCACTAGACTACTTTCAGGCTTAGAATGAGTAGGGCTTGATTGTGAATGATCTTGCTGGGGCTCACTGCTGCCACAGTGTAAACCGGGGGTGAGCAAGATTCAGCCCATGGGTCGGTTCTGGCCTGCTGAGGAGTTTTGTCCAGTCCACGGCAGCTCCCTTGGCATGGGGGTAGCTGGGAATGTGGCACATGTGGCTGGTCCCACCACCCCTGTGTGTGCAGCAGAACTGGAGCAGCCCAGTATCTGGACTCCATTTCTCTGTAGCCCCAGCAGCGGTGGCTCCTTCTGGCTGGTATTGCCACCAGACCCAGCCCTGCTGTCCAGGCACCTGAGCCAGGGCTGAGTCTTGGTTCTGTGGACAGGGATGTGTGGGGAGTGGATTGTAGCTCTTCCTCGGCCCTGCGATGTCACTGCCCTGCGATCCCAGGGTCTCTGTGGAGACTGGCCGGGAGCTGCACAGACAGGGTGCCTGGTGGGGCAGCTGGCATGGGGCCATGGGTGGAAGGGGAGCGGAATCTGGGGCTGGGATCGTGGGGTGGTGACAGTGTGCGGCCAAGGCAGAGCTGCGATTCATTCCCTGCAGGGCCCTGCCTGTGGAACTAGCACCTATTACAAGGGCATGTGGGCAGTGGATTGCAGCTCTGCCCCAGTCTCCATGCTGTCACTGAGTTGCGACCCTGTCCCGTGCTATCCCGCCCATCCTGCTCCTGAATACTGCTCCTCTCCTGCCCATGGCCCCATCCCATATAGGGAGTTTTGGTAAGCTGTTGTAGGGAGAGAGTGGGGGTGCTAACCCAGCCCACAACAGCTCAGCAAAATTCCCTTTGTGGCCTGTGGACCCAAATAATTGCCCACTGCCAGTGTTCCAAAATACACCTGTTTGTGCAAACATGCTGATATGTGGTGTGACCGGCTGGCTCTGATTGTTCCCAAAAAGGTGTCCAACTTTTCCTATCCCCTTCAGGAAGCCTTATTGAGTATAGTCATCAAAAAGTTACTTTCTGTCTAGATAGGAGCCTTGGGTATCTGCCTGTGGCAAACACATACTGTTATATATGTGCAGAATGACTAAGTAGGAGAGTTTCCAGCCAGCTAGTCCTCCTCTGACCTAGGTAGCTCGGGATCATGCTGTGTTCATTGAACTTGAATTACACCTTGGTATTGTAAGTTTGAAACTTAGCCTTAGCTGAAGTGGGAGAGTCATGATGCTGCAGTCGGGCCTTTATTATGAGGAAATAGAATTTAAGTAAGGTACATAATCTAAGATGCTCAAATTAATTAATTTTTTTAAACTCAAGTTTGTGCATGTTAATCTTGCTTCTGGGTGATGGATCTGTGCACAGGAGTTTGGACTGTTTTCTCCAGCAGGGTCTATTAGGGGTTGTGCACATACCCTCTGCCTTCTTGTTCCCTCTTCTATAAGCATAGAGCTGAGGTTGAGTCAATCCCATGGCAGAACCTTGACTTCCAGGTGTGAAGGCATACCCTTCTTGCAATGGGAATGATACATGTCTACTGTTTAGGACTTTTATGTCTTACAAGAAATGCTGAGGAAGAAAAGAGAATCTATATTAAACTTCGTAATGGAAGAATTCATGATTGTGGCTTTGGATTCCCAGGGGCTTTTTAGAGCAACTGTATCATCATCTTTCAGATCACATACTTCCACTGCCTTAGAGATAGGAGAGGTAACCTTGAGACTCCAGAGAACAAAGAGAATTCACTCTTTTGCTCAGTTTCCTGTAAGAAGACCAAATCCCCTGTGTAGGCATTGCAAGAACAGTCAGCTGGTCCTGCTGTGTGTGGGAGAAAGAACTTGCCTTTGGTCACAACCTAATGCTGAAACTACCTTTATCTTTGGAACTGGTAGCTAGGATTAAACCATTGGTGCCGGCTTGATCAGCACCAAGGCCAGTGTAGCTTCAGTGGACTCTTAGTAGGCCTCTCTGAAGCAGCTAGTGTTCACTTTGGATTTGAATTCGGCCGATTTTTGGTACAGGGATTTGATTTGGTGATTCAAATCATTGTCCCGAATTGATTTGGCTGAATCTGATTTGAAGGTATGGCTGCTGCTGAATCGGCCAAATCAAGCTGCCCTGCTTGGCCTCATCATTCTGGCTCTTTTTTAAAAGCCCCGTACTCATCAGCTCCTGCCAGGCGGGGTGAGGAGGGGTCATCCCCGCTGCCCCCCCACTGCCCTGCGCTGTGGGGGGGGGCTCTGCCATGAGCCCCCAGAAGCCCTGATGGCTGCTGCAGTAGCCAGTGAGTGCGGGGATTTTTTTTCCCAAAGAGCCAGAATGCTGGGGTCAGATGGGGTAGCCATTGATGGGGCTGGGAGAGCATGCAGGGGATGGGGGCTCTTGGCAGAGCCCCCCCCCTCCCCCTCCCCCCCATGCAGTGCAGGGCAGTGGGGGGCAGCAGGGATCACTCCCCCACTCCCGGCCAGGCAAGAGCTGGTAAGGACGGGGGGTCCCCTCATGGTCTGTTCCCTACTTACTGGCACGGAGTCTGGGTCCAGCTCCCTGCGGCAGTGAGCAGGGATTGCCCAAATCTCTGAATCTCTCCAAAGCTCTCTGAATCTTTTCTGAATTGATATGGAGAGCATCAAATCGATTTGGACCTTTTTGTTGGTCTCCTGATTCAATTCAGATTTTGGAGATTCGGCCGCTGAATTGGGCTGAATCTCCTCCAAATTGAATCGGCTCCCAAAGCTTCACATGACCCTAACTCTTAGTACTGAAGCATGCTGCACCAGTTTGGATACAACGAATGTACTTCAAAAGACTCTGGGCCCACATTAAGATTATTGGGCATTTTACATCCATGCGATTAGAAGGTGACCATGTATACTGCAGCATTCTTTGAAGCAAAGATCTCAGCAAACTTCCTCCTCTTGATAATTTCATCATGGTGGATACCACCATTATGAGGGAATTTTAGAGGGGAAAAAATTAAGGCTATACCCAGTGATGTCTCCTGCCTTTCCAGAACAACTCTTTCAAGGACACTCAAACCTCTGAAAACTGCAAAGTGGAATTAGGATATACACAAGCTCAGCTTTAACTCTACCTACCCTGTTTACACACTGACCTGTTAAGACTGTTGTACATGCTCTTACTCTGCTTTTGAGCCCCACTTCTTAAGTGATGTGAACTGAGTATAAATCCTTACCATTGCTGTGGCAGAGGTATATAGGTGCTGTGTACTGAACAGTTTTATGCTTGAGTGTGTAGCTGACTCTTCATCCCTCACTGGCCAGAATTTTGGAGCCTGTTCACCTTTACTTGTGGATTCTCTCTTTGTATTTTCACTTGCCTTTCAACAAACCCATAGACCCACCTAGCTTTTTTTCAGAACCATCAGAACTTGGCTGGAATGAGTAGTGTTATCTCTTGGGTAGATATGCTTCTTTTTCCTTTGGTCACATATAGAGAAGGGGGAGCACAGCAGGGTCATAGATACCTCTATTAGGAGCCTTTCAGACCTCCATATAGCATAATCACAGCTTTTCCAGGCTGCTCCATCTCTAAGTCCCTCCACCATCCAGTGCAGCTATGCCTGATGCAGTGAATGCAGCTGGATCCCACGTGGATAATTCCTGGTGGCTATTGTCCATTCCTAGGGGGCAGAATTAAGGTTGCCTTACCACATGTCTTTATTCTTGGTTTGCAGAGGTTTGAGCAGCAATGAAATCAATACCATGATGGAAGGGTAGTACAGGGCAATCTTATCTCTGTTAACAAGGGCTTTGTCGGTAAATGTTTGTAAAAGGTGGAAGAAACTAATTGATAGCTGGAGGACTGATTTGTACACAAAACAGGTAACAATACAGCCGAAGGTAATGCTGTATTCCGCAAACAATTGTGCAGTGTTCTGCTACCCACTTTTGTGGGAATAGCCTCTGACAGCAAGTTCATTCTCTGTGAACACATGCTCTTGAGACTTTCTTCAGGAACTGGGCTGGGGTCAATCAACTAATTTAATGTAGGTTAGTGAATGGTAATAGTCAGCAGTCATAGCTTGTGACCTGACTTGGATTTGAACGATGAATGTAGAAGTGAAAACCTCCATGGTGAACTTTTGAATGTAGAAAAGGAGAAATTACTCGGTGTGTGGGAGCTAACTCCCATTTATGCCAGTGACAGTCACCTGCTTTAAATATCTGTGTGTTACTTAAAAAAAAACCCCAGCCCAACCCCCTGTATTTTTAATAGTCCACCAGCTAACATGCCAGGTTCCCTGTGATGTCAAGGCCCTAATGTTACTGCACCTGTGTCAATGTAGTCATCCTGACTATGGATAATGAGGAGTCAAGTGGGAAAAGGCCTGAGGGGTATGACAGAATCACTAGTCTTTAAGTAGGATGCTAAGTATATTTTATTGTTCTGTATTGCTGAAAAATGTACCAGCCTCTGTGCTTTAGCTTCACGTCTCTGTCCAGCAACTTGTCTAGGAATGGATATAGACATCTTTTGGCTTCTAGTTGGATAGGCTGTACATATCTTTCACGTGCTAGAGATGTGTATTCATGCCTGAATTTTTTATCTTCTTTTTTTTATTTCTGTAGGTTTGTTTTGAAGGAACAAAGCTTTAAAAAGAGAAAAAAAAAAGGATTTACCAGATTAGAAGATGGGAGCAAACAGCAGCAGCCTTAGTGAGCTGCCAGAAAATGAGTACTTAAAAAAATTGTCGGGAGCTGAAGCAATCTCTGAGAATGACCCTTTCTGGAATCAGCTGCTTTCATTTAGTTTTACTACCCCAACAAACAGGTAAGAGAATACCAAATCTCAGGCCTTTAACAGGTAGGCAGCGTGTTAGTAAGAGACAAAAGTGCTTACTTTGCATAAGTTATGTTTTCTCTTTGTGTGTGTGTGTGTGTGTGTGTGTGCAAATGCCCAACTGTATATGGACTGTAGTGTTTCTTATTCTGGGTTCCTTTTCCACAATATTCTATCATCACTGTGGATTCTTTCTTCTTGTAACAGCTGTAATTCCCATTTATTGTCCCCACAGCCTGGGAAGATCAGAAATAGGTGCTGTAGGGGCCAAACACTGTTCTTGCTTCTTGCATTAGCTAACTCAAGGAATATAGAGTGAAGGGTCTTATCCTTATGGTGCTGAGCACCTTGAACTTCCACTGGATCTAATGGGAGCTCAGGGTGTTCAGCACTTCATGCTGTGGGCATCCATACTAGGATTTCTCCTGGCTCATGTCCTCTTCTAGACCCTGGTTGTCGTGGATGGTTTTTCACTTTGTGCACCCTGCCACGCTGAAGCTGCAAAATTTCTTCTGGAGAACAGGGAGCAGGGTAGAAAGGCTGTATTTGAGGCTTAAGGTAGTAGAAACCCGCTTGAGATAATGTGTCTCATGTCTTCATATTGGTAGTAATTTTTACACCTTTGATTTCCCACATCATTAATGGCCATATGGAAGGAGAACCCAGCCCCTTTAGGTTTAGGTTAAGCCCAGAAGAACAGGAGGCATGCTGTTTCTTCTTCCATCCTTTGTCTAGTGAAGATACTTTTCCATTGCAACAAGTGATGCTCATAACCAAAATTGATATTTCTGAAGGGTCATAGCTTATCTCTATAAATCTCAAATGTCCAGTTTTGAGCTGACTGACACTATTTTGACTATATCATAATTCAGAAACTTGAGTGGCTTCCTTAGGAAGACAGTGTTGCATCTCCAATGCAGATTTATCCAGTGGAACACAGTTTTTAGATTTTTTCAGCCCTTTCCTGTAAGGGCAGTGATTAAATGTAGTAGAACACCACTGCGCTCTCACAGATGTTGACTTGAATTTTAAAGATGAGGCATGCAGTTTTGACTGGCCTTTCTCTGCCCTGTGTTGTTTTACTGCATACCCTAGCCCTTCCCCTGCCTCTCTACCTCACCAGCACACCACAACTGCCTTGGCCTGTCCCCTCTTTCCCTTTTCTTTTCACGTAGCTGCCTTGCCCTGCTCTCTCCAGAATGAAGTAACGTGTCTTTTGCTACTATTGTGTTGTACACTTTGCTTGTGTCAAACACCTCTGTCATGTCTGTTGTACCCCTTATCATTGCAAGCTCTTCAGGACAGGGTCTTTGTACCCTAGTATTGCTCAAATACTTCACAGGGTTAGGTTCCTTATCCCCCTGTGAAGATGAGGTTTTGCAGTTTATGCCTATGATTGAACAGCTGTGTAGGACTGCTGAGGCACCAGCTGTTTACTGCAGCTTTTATTTGCAAGGGTGTCACTTGTCCAGTCAGCTATGTGGGACTGATGGTGAACTCCAGCTGATGGAGAAGTGTCGCTCTTAGAAGTAAAAGCTGCATGGGCCATCCTTCATCCAGAAGCTGCTTCAAATTAAGTAGGTTGTGAGCCACCCAGATATGCATAACCTGGGTTCTACTGCACTTTGATTCCCCACCCCCACACACACCTCCTTAAATACTGCTGTAATGAACCTACTTGATGGTAATGTAGTCTAGACTGTCTTTGAAGATGCTTTTGTTTCATGTCTCTGAAGTGGGAAGAGGGCTCAGAAATCGGCCTACAGAATACTGGTTTTGAGAGAATTGCCTGTTCCTGTGGCTTCAGTTAACTGCATTTTAATATGCTTTTGCATTTTAATATTCTCCTGCACCTGTATCTGACTTAATTCATTGACCTGCCAGTCTTAATGCCCAGGTATAAACATTACTTTTTTTGCTGGTGTTAAGTGGTCAGGAACTGGTCTATACCCATAACAGAAGAGACGTTCAGCACACGTGGCCTGGCTTAAAAATTGTGGAACCCAGTCTAAGATTTGACCCCCTCTCCTCCCGGGTGAATGTGTGTTCTGTTCATGACCGATCTAAACTCTGCCACTCACAGAAAACTGCATAGCTTGTATTGATTCCGCCTTAGGCTTTTTCAATGTCTGTACCTAGCCAATAGGCAGACAAGGTTCTTTGGGTAAATCCGATATCCTTTATTAGACCAATTCAAATAGTTGGAAAAAATCTTAGCAAGCTTTTGTATATAAATACCTTTCATCAGGCTGAGGAAGCATCTGCAGATGGTCTGTGCTCTTCCTGGATGGAGTGGTAACGCAGCCAGAGGCCAGCACATATGCAAGAAAGCCAGTCAGTTAAAATGTAAATTGAGGTCAGTTTTTAACTGACTGGCTTTCTTGCATATGTGCTGGCCTCTGGCTGCTTTGCCACTCCATCCAGGAAGAGCATAGACCATCCGTAGATGCTTCCTCAGCCTGATCAGAGCATTTGTACCCGAAAGCTTGCTGAGAAGAATTGTTCCAACTGTTTGAGTTGGTCTAATAAAAGAGATCAGATTTACCCAAAGAGCCTTGTCTGCCTGTGTCCTTAGACCAACATGGCTACAACCTTCACCCCTGTACCTATCCAATAGCATTCTCATGTAATAACCAAGGTTGTAATTCAACCTGAATCTTTAAGGCTAGCTTTAAAACAATGTGGCATTTTAATTTACTTATGCTGATAGCTTTTCCGTCATATATCTTGGGACTATGTTCGTCTCTTGTCAAAGGTAGCGATGTCTCTGACAAAGATATCCAGCCGCTCATTAAAGTTTTGTGAAAGGTACATCGAAGTTGTTGTGTTGGTTATATTCTTTTACAATCAAGGGTGTGATGCATGCATACATATATTATATCTCTTATATATAATGGTTAAAAACGTATTGAGTAGCATTCTGTTTTTTTCTTTTTTCTGTTACATTTCAGATGCTTTTTAATTGAATTGTAGCCAAAATATATAACATTTAAACAAAGTAAGAGGGTCACATGGAGTTGTGCAGTTTACTAATACCAGGAGTTCTTAAGTTTTGAGCATAAATCACAGATTTAATAAGGACAGAACTAAGATGATAAAATTACTGATATAATACAGTATATATTTGAAGTTGCTTCTTTATTAATCCTCAGAATGCTAAACATAGTCACTTTTAAACGATCATTTGATGTAAATTAGATTTCTCAGGGATTGAGAACAAGTCAGGTGTATGATACCACTCCGGAGTTCATAGTAAGTTTTCTTACATCTGGTAAGTCGATTGACCCCTCTGCGTGGGTGCATGGGAAAGTTTTGAGTGGCTGGGAAACATTCTTAAAGTTTCTGGTATATTGGAGGCTGGTCTGGAAGGCCAAAATGGGACAACTAAATAGAATTAGCATCTTGGAGGCACATCATGGTGCTTTTATTCAAGGGAGAGAAAGGAAGTTTTTGTTTCTGCTATGGGAGGGTTGGGTTTAGCGGGGATGTTCAGGAGCAAGGAGGAAGATGATTGAAGGTAGGTTTATGAAGTGATTTACTTTTAAAGGATAATACATTTGGACACCTGGTGAGAAGGAAGGATAAAGTGTTTGGCACTTCCTAGATGTGGTTGATTTGAGGAAAGCATACTTGTTTGTATTAAAGACTGAACAAAGTGCTTAAATTTAAATTTTCTCTCTTTAGAATATTGTTTAATATAAGATTACTCTGATTTAATAGGGAAATGTTCAGATTTTTTTTTCTTGAAGTGTCTCTCTCCAGGCCTGAGTCAGCAAGCATTACCTGAGGTTTTTTTTTTCTGGATGTTGCCAGTAAAAATCTGGAGCAGTCCCAGATGGGGAATGAAAACTTCTCCAAAGTAGCCTGAAAAATTCAGTTAACTGGACACCAGATGGTGCTCTTGTACGGCAGCTAGAATAGAAATATTTGTAGAGGTATCATACTCTTGTTTGTAACTTAATAAGTGGAAGAATACATACATTTTTGTCTACTGAAGAAAGTTCAGTTCAACAGTATCAAATATTGCTCCGTGCCTCCCATCCTCAGCCAGTCTCTGAAATGAATGACATCGCTTACAGGGGAACAACAGAGTTCAAAAACCGTTGATTGCCTTATGAGAGTGAACATTAACTGTGCCTTATGATGAGTATTAAATGTGACTTATACAGGGCATGAGTGGGTAAAGTGGTTGACAAGCTGTCACTTGTCAAGCATAGGAGGGTTTTTTTGGGTTTTTTTTAGTTTATTCTAAAATTATACATTTTTCTTTATTGTAATATTGGAGTCTTTCTCAGCAAATGATTGCCCCCAAGTTTTCGTGGAAGCCATATTGATGCTAAATTATTTGCTAAGTCTTGTGGTGGTTATGTGTGATTAATTTATCAGAGGTGATGCCCGACTACATTGGTCAGGCTCATTCTAAGCTGAGGTAGATGCCTGAAAAGTCATCTAGCAGTACTCTTTCCTGGGTGTTAGTTCCAAAGCCACCCTTCCTCTGTTTTCTTTCTTGGTCTCAGTGTATTTCTTTGTGTGTGTTTCATTGTTTGCCACATAACCTTTATTCCTTTTCCCTCAATGGCCCAATCTTCATCTCCCCCATTTTTCTTTCTCTTAATCTTTCTTTGCCCCATTTTAGCCCTTCTTTTCTTCACATTTTGGCTGCTTCTTGGAGGCAAATACTGTACTGTTCTGTCCCCTTCATTTCTGTCCACTATGGAGCACACGAGTCAACAGAAAAAACAGTAAAAAGGGGAGAGTGAGTGGGAAGAAATCTTGGCTGCTTGCTAAAATCCTTGAGACTAATTTCTCTGTAGCCAGTCAGGTAAAGAAGCTGAAGAGGACACCGTTCTCACTGCCTGTGGCTTTTGCTAGCATGAACATCAGGCCCTCTACGTGTGCAGGTAAAGATGCGATGGAATCTGATGCATGATCCACACAGTTACTTCTCGTATCATGCCACATGTGCGTAGCAGAACGCACGATTGTGCATC